AAGAACGTTCCGGCAAAATTGCCCTCAACAGGTTTACAATGGTTGACAGTAGACAAGAATAGCCTACAACAGGACATAGTGGTATGTTAACGTTTTTCCCTCGAGGATTCTGTGATGAAGCACGCAAGCACCAAAGGCCAACTTCCCAAGGACGTAGCAATGCAGTGCTCGAGTCTATTTCCGTCCTCTTAGGAATGCTGCGTGGCATTCTGGCATCTGTCGGAACACCTCAAAATTGCTGGTAATTTGATTGGTCTGGACACCTAGCTGAATTATCAACGATTTCCCTAAGATAAAAATTAATGGAGAAGAATAGTTAGCCCTAGTCTGCATATGGAAACAACACCTACGGGGGGGGGGGGGGGGGGGTAGCATCACACTCAAATGATTCAGAACAGGAGGAGCTGAGCAGAACTCAGTAGCTCCCCAGGCATGATTCTAGCACGCGGAAACATCACAAAATACCTGCCAAAACATCACAAAAATACCCTGCCAAGTCTGTTCACCTCATCATCAGTTGAAGTGAGCACCTACAAGATAATTACTGCAATGCTGGTAACATGCAATGGAGGACACTTCAGTGGCCACTTAGAGCACCACGTGCCACCGTACAAGTGGCATACAACACCTAATGAACAAGCCGTCAAGTGTGTTTGTGTGTGTGTTTAAGCACTAGAACACAATCATGCAAATGCCTTGCTTATCTCAGCACTTTCCCCAAGGTGGCATGCATTGTAGAATGTGACTTTAAGTTCAACCCATTGAGCCAGGTTGGAATTCAGCAGTTGAAACTAAGCCTTTGGTGACTGGGGGGGGGGGGGGGGGGGGGGGGGGGGGATTAGCATTATCAATTGTCTGATGTGGCTAGGCCGGATGGTTACAGTCTTCGTTTTGCGGACCAGACTGAAACACGGGTTGCAGAAATCACTTCTACAAGTATACAGTCAGACCTCGCCTATCCGGTCCTCTTTTATCCGGATCCCTCGCCGCCATCCAGAAGAAAATAACTGGTTACAGATTTACAGCATACATGTACGTGATGCGTCCAACAAAGCCGATCTTCGATTATCCAGTTCCCTCGCCTATCTGGATATTTTTGTGGAAAACGGATGTTTGCGGTTAAGCGAGGTCTGACTGCATTGAAAAACGGCAGTATTTATCATATGTCGAGAATGGTCGAGCAAGATCAGGAGATTCCTCTGTGGATGATTTCCTTTCAGTTCCAGTGCATATTGTAGCATCTTGCCTCGTGTGCGGTGCGGAAGTCAACTGAATTGCTGAATTGCTGGGGTGCTGGAGTTGTCGTTGAATCAAACTACTGTCACTAGTCACTAGTAAGACTACAGATTGGACTCTTTGGGAGTAAGTGTTATGCACCGTGCTGATTTTCACATGCGGCATCTTATACTCAGTTTTGCTTACTTGCAAGTAGATGCATTTGCATACACTGTTTTTGTATCACTGTATCATATTTCAATCCATTCTAGCGTTTTTCAAATCGGTTCAGGTGGACTCGAAGTACACTCTGTATCATAAACTTAGTTACAAAGGAGACAGTCTGTTGATGATCTTCAACTCTTCGAAGTACAATGTACATTGCTGATCCATTCGGGTTGCTTCGTGGTTATTCGACGTTCTTTATCCTCGGTTTCAGTATAATAGAATACTCGGTAGACGAATTCCATGTCATTCTTCTTTTCCATTGTGCACTGTTCCTCGTCAGTGTGCTGTTCTGTGTGGAGTGTACACGTGCATGTGGTGTCTGTTGTGTCTGTTGTAAACGGTCCGTGCACTGGAGTACTGCCGCCGTACAAGTTTACTGCCTTTCAGGCAGTGAACTTGTACGGTGGCAGTGCCCTAGCGTACGTACCGTGCACCGGGATTTATATTCAATATAATCCCGCGCGGGATTTATACTGGCCAATATAACCATGGCTAGACGAGCGCTGATTGGCTGAAAACAGGCCCTCCGTACCGTACCATGGTATAAACCTGGGTATGCATGCAGTACAACGGTACACATGTATGCTAGAGTACGCAACAGTTGATGTCACGCCATAAAAGTGATCTTCACGCTTTACTGGCATGCCATAAATCTGGCATACTCCTCGCTAAGATATTAGAGAGGTTCCGCACTACGTAAAGTTGAGCAACTTTACGTTAGTGGGCAGGAAAAACCCGTGAATTCGCGAGTTTGCACTCCACTTACGGAAAGTTGTCTACGTAGAGTACGTAGATAGGGCTCTGATAACGTAGCTGGTCCGTAAGTGGATTGGGGTACAAATTTATGACTCTTTCCCCAGGTCGATCTGGTCGTACACTGCCGCGTTCGGAGTTGCCAAGGGCAGCTACGTGATTTGAAAACTCCGTATGGCGGAACCCAGATTCGCATGCAGTTTACGTAAGACTTTCCGTAGATCGACTACGTTTTTTACTAACGTAATTACGTGATGCGGAACCTCTCTATTATCAAGAGTACATAACCCCCCAGAGTGTGCAACGCCGATCCAGCTCTGCATAGGGTCTTGGTCGAGCGGAATCGGATCTTCTGATGTCATGCGTACACTCCACACCAGCGCAAGGCCGGTCTCGAGGCAGGGCACCATTGTTTTGATCCGAGAGTACCCGCGACTCCCCGGGTTCCCCTCAGATGTGTACGGTATTATGACGCAAAGATCCGATTCCGCTCGACCAAGACCCTATGCAGAGCTGGATCAGGCGTTGCACACTCTGGGGGTTATGTACTCTTGATATTATTCTACCCCGCAGAATTCATACGTAAGAATCCAGGGGTCGGAGTTTACTTGCCATCGCCGTAGTACAGGCCGGGGCCACACAGTACATTTCAGCCAGCTTACCCCAGATAGAAATTATTCCCGAAACAATGCATCTAGTCTTCTTTTGAGCAGTACCTGTTCCTGCTCCGCGCATCCCCCTGGTTTCTGATATCTCGAACGTGTACTTAACTATCTCGATCACCCCTGCTAACGTTATTGCCCCCGCTTGTTTTTCATGATCCATTGCTTCTATCCTCCCGGTTAATTACCATCTAGCTGTTTCTGGCTAGTATCAGTTCTATCACACTTATCAATCGTCCTTATTGGCATCACACCATCGAGGAATAAAAGAATAATAACGAACGGATCGTGACATGCCCATATATGGACAAAATGATGCATACTGATGCTCCTTATACGGATGGTTTTAAGGGATGACCACAATGCACTGATGATGCGCTTAGCAAAGAATGGCCGACCTTAACCACTGCAACCAGAAACGGGTGGGCCATTTTATGTACCAGCGACAGCTGACTTTAACCACTGCGATCCGAAACTGATCAGCCTTGTGCTTTGGCATCCATACTGAGCCATCCATACACCAATGGGTTAGTGAAGGGCGGGGTGATGTGTCTAAACTTACAGCGATAACGTGGCAAGGTCCACTATTCACTGAAGAAAACCGGTGGCTTAGACCATAAGTGGCTCTTTAACTCCATGCTTTAACCGCTAACCCTACCCAGGGACGAAAATTGCCCTCGGTTTCAGATGTTGAGAGATCTTGAAAAGAGTTTAATGGATATGTTGAGGTGAAGTGGTTACAATAACCAACATCACACCCTCACTGTAGCCTCTCCATACTACCCATTGCGTCATCTGGTAACTGCTTCATTCAATGGTGCTCTACTGCCCAGGGGAAAAAGAGCCAGGCCTTGTTGTCTTGTCTGCAAAGTTGCAGAGGCTTTCCTCCCAACTCTCTTGTCGCCTTGTCCTTTTCTCCTTAGAGATCACCACCGTTGGATGTTGTCTTTAGAAAAGGAAGACTGGCAGTATTCACTGCTGGAATCGCTTGCCCCTCCAGGCGTTGCTATGCGACTTGGAAGTAGAGTCGCTTTCAAACAGTTGCAAGTTCTAGGCACTAGGCAAAAACTTGTCTGTGATTTTTGACGCCTACAATGCTAACTAGCCGGTAGCTTACAACACCAAAAGAGAACTTTCGAGGAAAACCTTTTAAAATACAAGAGATCCACTTTCAGGAAACTTCACTTCCCAACTCCAAACTCCAAAACGGTCTCTTCACTGCGATTCAAATTCAAATTTACATTACACCAAATTTTCAGGCCTGGCCCATCACCAGGGTAATGAGGTCCACTTTCCATGTTCAATGCACATTTAGAAGAAGAACAACCCAAAGAGGATTGAAAAAACAAACATCACTTTTCCTGTTTCAACTCCTTCCACAATATAAATATCCTTGGAAAGCTCAACCTTTGACCTAGTAACGATCGAAGGTAAGGTCACCATCTTCTTGATCCAAAGGCCAAGCCCATTGCGGAATGACGCAATTTGTACCTCGAACACCCCACACAACCACCTGGGCATGGTCGTCTGGGGTGTTGAACAGTACATTGGTTGGTTGGATTTATTTAAAGTCGTACAACAAACAGGCATATCCGCCTCCTTATATGAAGACGACTTCTGGCAGTAAAACATTTAAAAAGAAAAAGAGAAAAGAAAAAAACATTGCTGATCCCAGCCTACTCACATACATTACTCATGCCTTCCATATTTGGCAATGCGCAATGGGCTTATTGATTTGAATGGAATAGTAGAGTGTAATCGTTTTCGTTTGTCCCTGAGTAAAATATTTTGTTTGTTTTGTTCTGCTCGGGGTCGCTGGTGTGCGTGCTGAGAGGTATGGTTGCATAAAATAAAATAAACATGTTTCCCTGTTCGTAGGACCCAACAGACCCGCTCCATTCCGGGAGGTAGTGCGATTGAGAGTTAGGGAAAGATTCAACAACATCAGATGAATAAGACTAGGCAACATATGTTCTCACATACACAACAGGAACAAACACACACACACACACACACACACACACACACACGTGCACACACACACACATGTGCACCGACATGGTCACAGACAAGAGACGCACGCAGACAGACACGCACGTGCACCTAACCAGCACACATCAACCCAAACAGCAATGGACTTACAGGGGAAGGGCTCGTTGGTTTTGTTCCGGCAGTCGTACGCCACTCCTTTCGGATAGTGCCATTCGATTCGTTTTTTCAGCATTCCCGCATAGACAAAGTCGGGCTCAGCCTCCATGTAAGAGAGTAGCACATTCGGCCATGACATGCTGTCAAGTAGCGTTAGCTAAGGATGCACGTTCATATACAAACAGGAAGCACACAAGTACACACGTATGGATGCAGACACATATCGGTGCACACACGAACATGCACACATGCATGCACACCCACCCACCCACACACACATACCCACACCTACACAAATGTGCACCGACATACCCTACCGGCCAGCACTAAATCTCAATACAAGAGTGTGGACTGAATTCTTTTATCACGGCTTCTGTGCTTCGTGCGTCGGCAGGGGATTTCCGGCTTGCAATCAAAGAAATGAAAAGAAGTTGCTACCACTACTGTATTTCAACATTAAAAGATCAATTTTAAAGACTGGTACTGTAGAAGTGAACAAGCGTTTCGGAGACAGCTGCTCTGATACAGCCACATGGAGAACTAATTTAGCTGAAAGCATCTCCTATTTTGTCGACATGCATGAGTACAATGTAAAAACTATTGATTACAGTGCACACGACGAGAAAGAACGACAGGATTATTTCAGGGCTGTTTGCTTGTTACCGTCACAGCCTACGTGGAAGCAGAACGTTTAGTCAGCGAATATGTTCGTCCAACCCTGAAGAAAGTGAGTTCGTCTGCTACAAAATTTAGTCCACGGACGAAAACCCATATCAGAAAACTGGAGAAAAAAAACCGATGTTCGTCGAGCATTTTATTTCGTCCGAAACTCCTTGGACGAAAAAAGAGAAATTAAATTCCAGAGGAATATTAAGCTTTATCCTTACAAAGTGCTAGAAGCGTTTTGAATTTAGAGAGGAGAAGAAGGGACGCCTGGATGCGAGTTACGAGCAACTGCCCACATTAATTTTGTTCTCAACTGTACACACCGATGATTGTCTGCGTGGATGTACGTACTGGCCACGTAGGTTATACGATTCATAGCATTAGCCATTTTACAACAGCTCTAAGGTATAAAGGCAATGTAACAAAAACATGACTGCATCAATTACCTGTAACTGGACGCTATCCTGCATCTCTTCATTGGCAACGTAGCGAATGCCTCTCTCCTTGTCATCCTTCAGCAAAGCCGTCAGCAAGGCTACATGCACGTCTGCGATCAAGCGATTACGTTCGTTATACGCCAGCGCTTGGCACAGGCATTTCAGAGAGAACGGAGTCAAATGAAGTACGTCGGACAGGCGACGAAGAGTCTCATAACATTGTAGTACATCCGAGAGCAAATCCAGGGGTATCATCAAATCCATTGAAGACGCCGGAAGACAGAAACCCGCCGATGTCGACTCGCGACGATCATGCGTCTCCGCGGATTTCTTGCGCCTCCGCCGTCTTATAATGGGTTGCTGGGCTGCGGAGCTCCCACCGCGCAGGGCATCTTCGCCAGTGACCTTCCCTCGCTTCCGACGGGCAACAGCAGAGGCCCCAGAAGTCGGTCCAGGTCCGTCAATATTCTTGGGCTTATTTTTGGATCCCTTGGGTCGAGTCATGGCTGCGGGACACAAACAGTCCTGCCGCACACGCCAAAGAGTTTTGCAGAGATAGAATTATCAGATCAGTTGCAAAACTAAAAAAGTACGAGTGCGAACGCAGCCCAAAAGTCACACATGACAAAGTGGTGATGGCAAACACGCAAGCCAGGCATCGAAGTATCCATAGACGACGTGAAGCAATGAATAATATTCAGAACACTACAATCGTACGTATTCGTAGTCCAATGCCGGCATGTACAAACAATAATGAACACACGACAAAGACGTTTCAAAAGCAGTTTGCACGCACACTCGGAATGAATGGTATACGTATATTATACCGGGGGTAGTATTTACTGCCAGGGCGCGTCAGCATCTCGACTGAGTGTACACTGCATGAACGCGGCTGAGCAAGCGCTCTCCCACCAGCACTCAACAAAAAAATTCTCAAGAAAAGCCTCTACCATAATAGTACGAACTCGGACGAATAAAAGTCTAAACAAAACGAAAGAAGTAGCAGAAATGCCCTCACCTTACTTCCAGAACTTCACAGCAAGCTCAGAACCCACGCCAGGCCGCAGCCCGAGCATGTGAACGCATAAACGAAGACTCAAATACGATGCTAAAAACTACTTCAAAACTGCCTTTGAAAACTAAAGTCAGAGAGCAGAGCCAAAAAGGACCTGACGCAACTAACTTCACCGAGCTGCACAGACTCAATCTACACAAGCCTGGCGGCGCACGGCCATGCTGACAGAAATCTATCAAACCTCACGGCATATAGGGTTATACTTGAGGGTATGTCCGCAAATCTCCGTGTCAGAATATCCACACCAGACGACCGGTTTAGATACAGTACAGTGCCTACATTGGCTTCGAGGTAGGTGAGAATAAAAACTTTGATTTTGAAACCTCTACGCCTGGCCGGGCCAACTCTAGTACACGTACTGCGCGGCTAAAAGCTCCCCCAAAACTGTACGACTTTTATTGGCATGAGTCAGCGCGGTACTATTCCCTGAAGTCAACACGTACAAAGAATTGTTGCAATAAGCAGCTAGCAGGCCTTTCTCAAAGTCAAACTATCCAATTCATATTCTGAGATCATAACTCCAGTTCCTTGAGTACTCTCCGCACTTGCTTAGTTCAACACGGAGCTGGCTAGCTGGCTTGCGATACGTAGATCTACCTACACCCCTGGAGTACTCAAGACTGACGTAGAGTCTACGTGCAGATCTGCCAAAAACCTGAATAGAAATCATACATCCGCGAACACGTGCCTGGACTGGTTGAACTGGGAACGAAAAACTGGTGTATGATTTGTAGTCATCTCCTGCGTCTGCTGCGCTACATCGATCATGTACAGCCACTGTGATGTAGATCTAGATACAGTAGAATGTCATGCTGTTCTATGCGTTGAAGCCACAGTCAGTAAAATATCATGATAAACCCCTGTCCAATTCTGACCAAAAATCATAAGCATAAAAGCAGTCGATGGACGCGCACGCGCGCACGCGTAGCCGATCGAATGGCTGGGTACTTGAGCCGCCTCTATTCACATATCTCTGCACCTAGCTAGGTACCTGGAGACGCGCTGCGCACGCGCCCAGCCCCATTGTAACGACGGCTACGTGTCGTTGTTGTTGAACAAACTACTGTTACGGTTTGTGACTAAAACTAGTATGTATGTAGGAACAGTCAGTATGCGTGCGCGTGCGTGGATGTATATATGGCGGACTGTGGCTGATAAGTAATTGCATAACACTTTCATTTTTTCAATGACAATGGCCTGAACTCTCAAGAGGGAGAGAGAGATCGAGACGAGAGTCACTGTGACTGTGTTTGGCGCTGAGGGCTGGCCGCATCAGTGAATGCGTTGAACAATCATAATAATTTTAAAAAAATCTGCTTGTACCCCAAGCGAATGGCCCTGCCGTTTCATGTTTGATAAAGTGGTCCATGGATGGAAGACTAGGGCAAGGCCACAAGGGCATACATGTACTACCACTAGCACTACCAGTACCAGTACTATCTATCCTCTGCAGGACGAAACCAGTATGGTGTTGTGAATAAAACCGTTCTCAAGTACATAGTATTTTATTATTATTATTGGACATTTTAAACCAAATTCTAGAGCAGGGCGGCACTCGAGACCTTACAGTGCAGTGGGCCCCCCACTGGCGTAGCAGTGGTGGCTGAAGTAACTTAGTTCTGCACGGCTAGATAAACGATAAGATGCGGAGACTCGTCATGCACGAATGTGAGGACAGTGCTCATATCAGCGCAGTGTATTTTTATCTCTTGTTATTGGCGCGGGTGCCGATGCGCGTGCGCGTACCTACAGTCGTTCGACAGTGCCAAAAATCCTCCAAATACGGGTTCGGTTTGAGATACCGGTAAATAACCGGGCAAAACTTGACTAGTACAAGGTGCTTGCAAGCCGTACTACATACACCGGGCGCGGGATCTACATGTACGTCATGCTTGACACATGTTGCGCCAATTCACGGCTTTTATGGGACAAAGCCTGAGCGGATGACCCTGCCTTGGCCTTGGGAGCAGTCGTATGTACTAGATTTCTGACCTGGTCTGATCTTGGACTGCCTGCTCCCGCGATGGGGGTTGGATTTGGACTTTTTTGGGAGACGAGGCCAAGAGGGCTGGGCGATGGCGGTGCGTGCGTGCGTCCGTTCTGTGGCGCCGCATGCGTGCGTCCGCTCCTTGGTGCCGCGCATGCGCGTGCGGTCATCGCGACTTCACTCAGTTATTGGGCATGAGTCCAAGGACAGGTATTTCGCTACTTATGCAGACAATCAGTGCAGCCGTGTCTCTGCTTCGTTTGCCATTACCTTCACTGCTTCAGTTGTCCGCGTGCGTTTCCTTTATACCGAAATTTTGTATTTGAACTACAGGTACATTGTACATGTACATGTACAATAAATATCGTAATCAAGTGGTGTGCTTCACTGTCCGAAGAGTGCTCGTGCGTGTCAGTTGTCTGATGATCGTAGTAGATGTAATACGTGAAACTCAGAATTGTGACAAAGCTTCCAATCTCTTGTGTACATGTACAACAAAATACAAAATAATTATTTAATAACCGCAATCAATAATACTCTTGTTGGCTTCAAGTTGCATGACTTGTTGACCTCGTTTATTACATTGGTTGACACTATGTCAGCAACGGATTGAGAATAATAATAATTATTATTATTATACTAATCCCGCAATCAATAATTATTATTAGGCCTGTGGGGATTGCCCTATCAAAAATTTGATAATAATAATAATAATAATAATTATTATTATTATTATCAAATTTTTGATAGGGCAATCCCCAAAACTAGCTGAACCGACATTTGTGTACTTTATTCATGCAATGTAAAAACGGTGGAGACGATGTGCAATAAAACGATGAAAATATGAAGAAATGGTGTAGGGAAAAAATATGGATTCAAACAAGTTTTCGTACAACACTCATCAGGAATCGTCGTTGTACTAAAGGACACTGAAACAAAAATTGAACTATTATAGAAAATCTAAGTTAGAGAAATAACACTAAGAGCAACAGCAGTGAAATTGACAAGTGTGAATTTTAACAATCAAAGCGAGAAATGAACAAAGGAGAAGGGAGGAAAGACAACGTGATAACACATAACAGCAGTACATTACACCTAGAACACTAACGGCCAAGCTTGGCCGCACTAAACACGACACGTTACTTGAACAATTTCAACCCAATTACACTATATTTCTGTACACACAAATTAGGCTTATACAGACGCTGATAGATAGCTTCCAACACTTTTAACTGTTGTCCATAACCATGACGACCACGGCACAATACAGTGAACGAAGAGTCGGAATACGAATTGCAACAATCAGGACTAGCTAGCAGATGATTGTACACTGAAGACTTGCTACCACGAAACCTACGCACAACACTAACACTCTCACCGGCACTCTCACCATCACTCCCATCACTGCTCTCCGACTCACTGCTCCCTCCGCCGTCCGTTCCATCCTCCGCTTCCTCAGTACTCTCTCTGTCTCGTCCATCCCACCTGACCGGGTCCATTGAACTCAACTCGGCCGTCACCCTGCTATCACGTCCCTCCTTTCGCCCTTGTCCGCTGAGTGCGTAGCTTCTGTTGTAGTTGGCTGTTGATCGTCTTGGTCTTTCAATTATGGGCTTGGATGGTGGATTAGTTGTGGTTGCTGTAGATTGCGTTGTTGGTGTTGGTGTGGGAGCTACTGATATGCAAGGTGGGTCTTTTTGAGTCGGCATTTGTAGTGTTAATGCAGCTGTCAGTGTTGCTCGCGGTCTGCCACTGGCAAGCTCCACCGCCGCAAGAACCGATGGCGGAGGATCAGGAGGAGGCAGTGGGACCGGGACCGCAAGCGGCACCGCCTCAGCCAAAGCCGCCGGGGGCACTGACGAAGGAACCACCGACGGCCGGAGCAAAGGCGGCGACACAAGCCGACCCGATGAGCCACCACGCCCATTCTCCTCCACCACCGCCACCAGCGACGGCGGAGCAAGCACAGTCTGTGAGCCAGGATCCGATTTTTACATTGCATGAATAAAGTACACAAATGTCGGTTCAGCTAGTTTTATTGATTGCGGTTATCAAGTTATTGTCTCCTCGCCGAGTGTTTAAATAATTATTTATTTATTTATTTCACTGAACTCGTGGTCCATGACCAATTGGCACGCAAAGGGCGAGAGAGGGGTGATATAATAGCCAACCACGGCAAGAAAAGAAAAGAAAGGAATATAGAAAAAGAGAAGAAAGAAGGATAGACTATTATAATGTCCATGTACATGTTAGGCCTTGACGGATTATGCTAGCATAATTTTTCGCATAATTCCTACCAAAATCGAATAATCGCATAATTCGAGGCAAATTGCATTCGAATCGCATAAAATTGGAATAACCCGCCTGTTCGCATCAATTAATTCCATACAGTCATGTTCTACAAGTACAAGTACAAGTAGATGCACCAGGAAGTCGTAGGTTTACGACTCCCTTGGTAACATTATCCAGTCCACTACAATCAGTGACGGTCGTAGCTACATGTAGGTCGGACGGTGCGTTGACCCCGTTGAACTTTTGCTGCTGAAGTACAACGCTCTCTACAAAAGAAGTCCCCTGTTATTTTGCACAAAACCATTATAGAAATAACACTAAGAGCAACAACAGTGAAATTTACAAGTGTGAATTTTAACAATCAAAGCGAGAACTGAACAAAGGAGAAAATTCTCCTTTGTTCAGTTCTCGCTTTGATTGTTAAAATTCACACTTGTAAAACCATTATACATGTACATGTACATGTACATGTACATTAGCAGCATATGTGAGCATAATGCGGCATAATAATAATTATTATGATAACTTTTAGCATAAAAATAGCATAATTCTGCAATTTTTTCAGCAATGCGAAAAGCATAATTTCACGAAAATATTAGCATAATCTGTCAAAGCCTAGTACATGTACATGTACATGTACATGTACATGTACATGTACATGAATGGCACAGTGACCGAAGGATAAAACCACTCATTCAGTCTCATTGCATGCACATGACTTGGACAATGTACAATCACGGCATATCGCGGTTGCCTGTTATGTACATGTACATGTATGTAATAAATCCTGAGGCTACTACATCTATTATACAATGTATGTTGACCTGGTTCGAATCCTGGTGGTGACAGTCAATTTTTTCTTCAGACTTTTCCCGTTTGTCTCTTTCCCTCAAACTAGTGAACATGTACATGTATGTTGACCTTCGCTTTCCCTAAAAAGGAGTATTTTATAAACAGTATTTATAGGCTTTAGTGGTATTTTATAAACAGCATTTATCACATGGCACGTGATTGTTGCCCGTACTCCAGCGAATCAGCACCTTTCGCGCCGCGGGCAATAATATGCGATATTGCCCGCAAAAAAATAGTTTATTTGCCCGCAAAAAAATAGTTTATTTCAGTGATCGCGTGACTAGACTGTACTACGAGTCTACGACGACTCTGTACGACTCTACGACGAGTCGCAGTGTAGCATTGAGACGAAGATGGAATTGTTTTTGGAGATGGACGTCCCGGCAATGGACATGGCCTCGGACGTCTGCCGTGTGGTGCTTGCAGGGATCATTT